AACATTTCAGGAGCTTTTCAGGAGCTTCACACACACAGACACATCTGTCAGGTGTCCCTCAGCCGTACTCAAGCCATCTTGTGCTGCTTCCCTCCTGAGTTTAAAAAGTACCAGGTGAAAGTGGTAGCAAACCGTGTGTAGAGTGAGTTGATTCCGGTTGCCTGACATGTGAACACAAGCTGCGCTAAGGCGGGAACAACCCGCAGTCATTGATAATAGGCGCTGGCTGTTTCCACAGCAGGCACCCATGCGCCCAGGCGCATGCAGCGGAGCACTGAAACAGCCATTAACAGCCCACCAGGGGCAGGCCGACAGTGCAAACGCTCCCTTGCGCTTCCTCCACAGTATCCTCCCACTTCATTCGCTGCAGTGTGAACGGGAATACTGCAAACAAGCCGTTCCCGGTCTGTTCCATGTTTTCTTTGCCCTGACTCTCTAGCACTTCAAATTGCCAGTCTGAACTTGGCTAAGGATCCAGACTTTGGATGAACCACCTGTCAGTGGTAAATAGCAGTGCTGCTCTGTATGCAGTCTTTGTGGAATTAAAAATCAGCACTTGACTCCATTTATAGGGCTAGGCTATAGGAAAAGCTAAGTAACACAACACTTGACAGGAGACTTTTGTTCCTTATACAAGACCTTTATACTAACACATCTACTAGAGTTAGAAGTAATAAGCAGGGGCACTTGACAAATGTTATCCCCACTAAGAAAGGAGTCAAGCAAGGCTATGTTTTAGCCCCCCATCTTTTTGCCTTATACAGAAATGACCTGATCAGAAGCCTCAAAATGGTTGACACACACACCCCTATTTTGGCAAATCATCATATTGCAGCCTTACTGTATGCAGATGACATGGTCCTTTTATCTAGACCAGTAGGCCTTAAAAGGACACTAAAACAGCTTGGTACCTATTGTGATTCCAACTTATTAGAAATTAACTATCAGAAGACCAAAGTGATGTCCTTTCGAAAGAGGCCCAAATTAGGGACGTGGAGCATAAAGGGCCACAGCCTAGAGCAGGTTTCGGCCTTCAAATATCTAGGGGTTATGTTTCAATCTACAGGGGCAAGGAACAAAATCATGAATTGTAGCAAATATGGGATGAAAGACCGCAAATAGTATCATCAAATTTGTTTCAACTAAAGGGGGACACTTCATACCAGTTGGGCTAAAACTATACTTAGCTAAAACAATACTACAATTGCTATATGGCACTATGCTGGGCCCACCCTCCTCAAGTTTTGCACCCCTGGAAAAGATACAGTCCAAATTTTTAAGATCTATCTTACGATTTTCAACTAGTGCTTCCAGCACCAGTTTACGATTAGAAACTGGGCTGATTAGATAGGAGGCCAAAATAACTTTGGCCTTCATAAATGCTTGGCTAAGGTTATGCCATAGACCATCTGATATCACTGCTCTAATTCTTAAAGACAGCTGTTGTTCTGATTGGCTTAGTGCAGTTCACCATAAGATATATTTGCTTGGCTTCTCTTCTGAGTCACTACAAATAATGCCATTAGAACTAGCTAGGGCTATTATCAAACAAAGAACATATGACACCGAAAGGCAAAGTGATATTGCTAAAGTGTCGACATTTTTGGCCCCAAGGGAAACAAAATATATAGTTGCTCCCACAATGTATTTAACATTATTAGACATTCCCTCTCACCATAGAACATACTCCCTGGCAAGATGTATCCATCTATCCATCGGCAGTGTTAGAAGGCTGGTATAAAAGGGTACCTTTGCCAGAGCGACTATGCCCATGCAGTGCAGGGAAAGTCGAAACAATTGAACATATTTTACTCCACTGTGTATTTTATGAAACCATCAGAACAAAGATTATCCATCCTATCTTAAGGAGGTATCACAGATATTTGGACAAGGAGATATGTAGGAAACTATTATTTGATCCTGCTCCACAACTTATAACAAACTGCACTAAATTTTAGCAATAGCTCAAAAAATACATGCTGCATGCATAGAACAATCTTAGAAACAATCCAGAAGGTCTAGGAGGAGGAAAGTAGAATTGTATAATCCATATAACACTTAGAAGTTTAATAACTTTACTCAACGTTGACAGAGTATTGTAGAAAGTTAGAGTTTTAGCAATTTTGTAATTAACCCAGGCAGTTTAAACACAGTTTTAAATTAAAATATTTTAAATATTTTATTGGTACCCTTCTTTGTATTGATTGTAATTGACTTGTGCTGGTTATATACCAAATAAACTAGCCTAAAAGAAACCAAACACCTGTCAGTCAACAGAACCCTCCCCCAGCCCGCTTGCTTGGGGAAACGCAGAATGGCAAGTCCTGTGGTCCCACCTGGGTGCAAGTCTATGTGTAAGGGACCCCTTTGCCACCTGGAAATGGAGCAGGGCAGCAACCCCCAAAGCTGGGAATGATGCTGCCTGGTCCACCTCCAGAAAGGGGGAGGCCAGCATGCAGACACAGCCTCCCCACAAATGGATCCGGCCTAGTGCCACAAACCATCTAAAGCTGTGATGAGATCACAAAGGCAACAGAACATCATGAAAAACTGCTACATTACATGAAGCCAAAGGAGGGCCAGAGGAACAGCTGGATAACTATGTATGGTCCTGGCTGTAGCATCAGCCTATAAAGGGAAGGGGTGGACCAGAGGGAAGACCCTGCTTTGAGGGTCCTCTGAAGCCCCGCCCCTCCTGGCCAAATCCAGCAGTCAGTGATTGGCTGGCTGAGGCTGCAGCCAGGACCACCCAGGAGGCTCATTGCTGGCCCTACTAGCAACATAATGTTCTCTGTCTGTGCACTTTTCCGTATCTCTACCAGAGAATTTCCATATCTACTGTAGTTAGGAGAATGCTTTCCTTACACTGGGAGTCTGTGCCCTCTTGGTGGGAAAGGGGAAATTGCTATTGCTGATATGTTGGAGAAGCCAACAGAGGATGCTGCCTGAAGTGGCTGCTCCCCATGTCTCCCCTCCCTGTACTATCTGCTTCTCATTTCCCTTGGGAGCCAAACTGGTTAGCACTTCTTCCCTCCAGGTGTCTTGAAACGTATAACAGTAAGCCATGTTTGCCTGCCTAACAGGACTTCCTGAACTCTCATATCTACCAATATCTTGTGATGATGGAGGTGGAGGCAAAGGTGCTGTGAAGGCAGCAGAGGCAAGAGTTAGTTTGTGGAGGAAGCGACAGAGCGTTCTGCATCTGGCATTCGTTCCACATTTTCTCAACACTAAGGAAAAGGTGCATCTCAAAACCACATTGAAATACCCTGGGCCAATGTCACCGTACTGACTGCAAAATCACCCCTGAATGGCCATAAAATGGCCATAAATCTATGCAGAAGGCACAATAAAACCCGATGATCAAAGACAGTGACAGTGGCATGCAATGCAGAGAATTTCTGTTCCAACATGGGTTTGCTAAAACAATGGACAAAAAAGCCAATGCAGAATCACCCAGAGGCTGTTGACCCCAAAAGGTACAGCCTGACATGACCATATCACTTTTCCTTATTGTAGAACAACCCTGGCAGAAATGCTGAAGGCAAAAGTCACATCCTCAGCCAGGCATTTTTCATATCAAAGCAGAAGTGGTTGTAAAGTAGCAAAACTATTTGCATGTATGCAAAGTGCGTGCATAAGCCCCTGAGGTTTGACCTCAGCTAGTTTACACAAACAGCACCTCCTGGGCACCAAACCAGAAATCCATGAATAATGTCAAACACTGCCTCAGCTTTTAAAAGGAATGCGTAATGGGGATGCTGATCCAAAAATATGCAGCTGGTAACCACACAGTGGTCTGAATTATGGCTGCTTCACTGATCACAAAACATTAATATTAAGTACACAGCCTATTAAAGAGAATTCAAAGTGAATGTCAATATTGTGAGGGAATTTGAAGTTTCATAGCTGAAATACCTTTATCTTTTCTAAAATATCATGTAAGGGCTAGAACATTATTACAATATAATGACAAAAAACCACTCCAGTACTAATTTCTCTCTTTCCTGACACTGTTTTTAAAATATGTATGTGTTATATATATATGCAGATTTTTTTCTACGTTATGTCTATCCATAAACTAAGCATCCAAAAAAAACACATACTGTGTGTAATTTTTTTTCCATTTTCCTGAACACAAGTGAAAAACACATATGTTCATATGCATTTATGTGGATGTGACTCTTGCAGTTGTACTCCATATGCATAATTGCACATGCAGGTGAGGAAGCTTTCCTTGTAAAGTAAAACAACTAGTTTGGGTGAGGGATTATAGAAAATCTCTGAAAGTATAGAACCATTTTGGTTAACAAAGAATATCACATAACATCCTCTTTGAAGAATCAATTTTGCATAGCAGTAAAAAGTACATTGGGGTAGAATTTTTCTTTACGTCTGCATAGTAAACATATGCTCACATTAAACCTTTTGTGTTCAGTCTCACATTTTAAATCTTGTTTAGAGCTTGCTTACAAGTATCACCTGCTTCACACTGAGAGAAAAGTGACAGTTTTAAAAGTATGTATGTTAAGTAAATTATTACTTTATTTGCTGTGCTTTCTTAAGAATACTTTCCTGGGAGCAGTGTTGCCTCTAAGCTGAGTTAGTGTGAGCTAGCTCATAGTTTTCTAGCCTCCGGCTCACTTATTTTTGCCGTAGCTGAGGAAGGATGACTCCAGAGCAAACTAATTTATGCAGTAGCCAAATCGCTCGCTCACAACTTTAATGCCAGTAGCTCAGAAAGTAGAATTTTTGCTCACAAGACTCCACAGCTTAGAGGGAACATTGCCTGGGAGTAAGCCCCATTGAATAGACCCGAGTAAGATTCTGAGTAGACCTGCTTAGGAAGACTGTCTTAGACCTGTTCAGATCTTTGCCTGCCAGGCCAAGACGTTACCTTGCTGATACCTCTGCTAGTTTTCTAACCACAATCGCTTGTGCCCAGAGATACTTTGTGAAAAATTAATGCATGTCAAAACCATGAATTAAAAACCACTTACCTTTTTAGCTCAGTGATAATATGTAAATGTTGAAATAACTCTCCCAGTACGATGAATGTAATTAGTCCACGCTGCTGAAAACTGTAGAATACCAGGAAATGTAAATGTGTCGGTGTCGTGGTGGAATGCACAGTACTAATGAAATTAGGTGGGGCTGTATTTCTCTGGGTGTAACAGAGCACCTGAGAACCAGACTGACCTGCTTCTCAGCTGTCGTAGTTGAGACATACAGGGACACAGAATTAGAAGCTTTCAGTATGAAATGGACAGAGTTCCACTGTTCCAGAGAAAAGGTGCTTTAGATAAGAAGAAATGTGTTATTACATGAAATGAACAATAATTACTTTAAACCAGTAATTACTTACCACTTTTGTATTCAAAAGCTGAAGTCACAAAGGGGCTGTCTTTGCAAGATGAGAAAGCAGTATTTTTAAATGCATCACTTTTTTAAAAAAGGGAGGGTAAATTTGATGAACTGGCTCATGACGAAAATTGCCTAGTTTGTGAGCCAAGGGTTGTGCAATCATGCCTGCAATGAACCTCTAACAAGCCTCCATGTTTTTAATGGAGGTTTGTGCAGTTCATGTTGGCAGTTCATGCATGAGTGAAGTTCAAGTGGTGTACTCACCACTTGGACTTCACTTGCACACGATATGACTTGCAAGAGACATTTAAAGGGAATGTTCCCTTTAAGTGGCTTTTGCAAGATCTCCCCCCCCCATTTCCATTCTGCTGGCCTCAGGGAGCCACCCCCATCAGAAAGGAGGGAGGGAAGATCTCAGATTGGGCCCCCCCTTCAATTGTGCTGGCCTTGAGGAGCTGCCCCCAGCAGAAAGGAGGAAGATATCAGATTCCCCCCACCTTGCATCAGGAACCTCACAACATGAACCTGTGAAGGTTCATGGTTCATGTGACCCCACGAACTGGGATAAACCTCCATTTTCCTGATTCGTGCCCATCCCTAGTTGTGATTCAACTCTCTGGGTTGCATATAAGAGGCAGCAGGGGGTCACATTTCTCTTCCTTAGGTAGCCCCCACTGCTACAGGAAATGATGCTCCTGAAGATATGAGAGCATCTTGAAGGGGAAATCCACAGAAACTGCAGATCTCCCTATATGCAAGTGAAAATACTGTCCAGTTGTGCAATAGTTAGGGTAACCAACCTCCAGGTTGGATAGCCCCAGCTTAACCTGATCTTAGCTCAGCAGAGAAGGCAAACACTTTAGTTAAGATTCCTGTGCATTGTTTGATATGAACACGATCAAGAACTTTGATATGAACACAACTGAAAACTTCCATGTTCCCTTCAATGGTGAGGACAGTTCTGCACACACAAAGAGATTCATGTATTGAGCTACTCTCTTCCTTGATGGGGCAGCCTCTGCAGGTGGAGACTTTTATGTGTACATCACAGTCCCTAAACTTTCACCCATTGGCACTCCCACCACTCAGATTTCAGGCTTCCTTGTGCAGTCCCATTAAACTTTAAAGGGACTGCACAACACAGCCTGAAACAGCTGAGCAGCTAGGAGCAGGCTACTCCCCACTCCTCAGCTGTTTTTCGGGGTTTCTGCAGGGCCACGAACCATGAACCGGTTCAGGTCATGAACAAACCTCCCGGTTTGATTTGGTTTGTGGTTCAGCCACGAACTACATTTTTCTGGTCCATGCCCATCCCTAATCAAGACCTTAATCTTAGTTATGCAGAAAGAATACTCAACATCTGCCTTCTTGCCATCCTCATCTGCCCTTCAAATGGGCAGAAAACTAGAGTGGACTCAAACCTGGGAAAACATTCATAGTACAAATATAGTCCTGTGCAGTTAGTTCCCTAATAAAGAATATTTTAAGCATCATATTGTGCAGTTTCTGTCCAAGTATCAATAATAAGGCAGATAATAGAAGAGAAGACTCCTGCATCTCTAGTATTATTACTCAGGTTACCAATTTCATGGTGGAGCTTGGAGTTCTCCCAGAATTACAACTGACCACCAGATAAAGTTACCAACCAGGCTGAGAAATTCCTGGATATTTTGGGCCAGAGGCAGAGGAGGAGTTTGGGAAATGATGGGGGTCAGCAGGGATGTGATTCCATACAGTACACCCTCAGAAGCTGCTATTTTCTCCTAGGGAACTGATCTCTGTAGTCTAGAGATCAGTTGTAATTCCAGGAGAATTCCAGGCCCCATTTGGAGGATGGCAACTCTATCCCAGACTGCAGTTCCCCTGGAGAAAATTGTAGCTGTGGAGGGCAAACTCTCTGCCATCACATCCCCACTGTGTTCCCCAAACTCCACCTTCACAAGGCACTGCCCCCAAATCTCCAGGAATTTCCCAAACCACAGTAACTCTACTCTCTTGTTATTTCATTCTATCATCCTGTCGACTCAGATTTATGCAAGCCACTTTCCATGGAACATGTGAGCTACTGAGGATTCTAGGATATTTTCTAAACACATTCCCTAATTTCAAAGAAGCTTTCCCATTGGCCTTGGTCTGATCTAGCAGAGTGTTCTTTATGTTCTTAGAAGTATTGATTGTCTTGTTGGGGTTTTGCTCATTTTCATGATAGATTTTTGATGCATATGAGAAATCAAGGATTCAAAGTGTCAGTTCACACACCTAAGCCTTTTCCATAAAGTGGTCAGGTATATTAAACTTCTAGTTGAGAGAAAAAGACACATCTCAGAGGGACTGAATCTGTGCTGCCTAAACTAAAATTAGGCATAGCTTTCTGAAGAATCCTTAGAACAGACACTAAGATAATAAGAATGAAACCAGGGAAAGGTAAAAGATGTGAATTAACCTTTTTGTTTTTAATTTGTTTAAAACTTTTACAAAATCAGGATATATAAGCTATGTCCCGTGGTTTTCTTGTGTGAAAGCAAATTTTGGATTTTAACATTTGTCCTCTAGTTCTTAGAATTATCTTGTGTGATAACCTGTCCAATGCTTCCAAATAAAGCATGTGGCACTGTGGAACCTTTGTACCAAAAATCAGTATGAGTCACAATGTCAGCACAGAAGATCTGCATTTAGAAGGAGAACCCAGATGGATAATCTTTCATAGTTTCCAGATTCAGTTCTATACTACACAAGGGTTCTGAGACTGGGAAAAACCCAGCTAGATGGTCCAGTCAGTTTTTCACTGTATTGTAAAGGCAATTCGATCATTTGTGTCCCTTGATTACTTTAGGAAGTTGGAATATTGGTGTTATAAATTAAGGCTTGATTATGATGTTAACATATTACTAATGGTTTTCATAGCTACAGTTTTCTTAGAGTTCTGGAAAAGGCGGAGAGCTGTGCTAACCTATGACTGGGATCTAATAGATTGGGAGGATGAAGAGGTAAGATTCTCAAGCAATGGTGTATAATGGGTAGTGGTAAAATATTGCCTGTTTGAATAATAACATTGCATCTGACTGCTGATGTGCAGATTAAGTTCTTTGGATCAGAGCTGAGTTGTGTTTGATTATTCTGTTTATAATCTATTTACATCCTATATTGACTAATTCCACACAGGGATTATTCCTAACATGGACAAAAGTAAAGGAGAGCATCATGCCCAATTTGGGAATGACTCATCTGGTCCTTGTTCTTAAGGATTGGTTTTTTTGGGGGGATTGGTTTTTCCTTTACTCTCAAGAAAATATAGACCTCATTTTCTTCAAGATAAAGGAGAAACTGTGGGGTGACTATGGGCAGAGTGCCATCTGAAGGCTCCTATGTAGCCACCATGGGGAGGGGGAATGGAGGTAAACTCTAACTTCAAAATGGCAAAGTTAAACTCTGCATTCTCCCCCTTTCAGCTGGGAGAAAGAGACAGAGAGGCCGAGTTCAGACCGGCAGTTTGCCCCAATATAGACACGTTTCAGAAATGTTCCACAACCGGATTAAAGGGGCCGTTCACACAGGCACATCTGTCCGGCGTTCCCCAGCCGTACTCAACCCGTCTCGTAACACTTCTCTCCCGAGTTTAAAAGATACCAGGTGAAAGTGGTATCAAACTCTGGAAAGCATGATTATCCCGCACATCTCCAGATTACCAAAAAGAAAGCCGCGCCTAGCCGCTCTGAATGCTTGAGAAGGCCATAGAGAGAGCTTTCGCTTCTCACTTGTAAGGGGGGAAAGTTTTTTTTAAAGGAAGAAAAAAGAACTAATCAAAACAAAAGCCAAAATCAATTAAAAACTGCCAGAGCAGATAGCAACCCACACTCAACTGAAAAAAAACCACACACAAACAGAAGAAAAAACATTTGAGGCTGCCAGAGGCAGCTACTTCAGGACAAGACAGATCAAGCCAGTGACCTGAAAATAAAACCAGAAGATAAAACCAGCTAAAAACAATTAAAAGAAGGAATTCTTCAAAGAGCAAACAGCAGCTCCGCTGCCCAGCCCAAGCCAGAAACTGGAAGATCATACTCCATCTCCTATGCAAGTACATGAAAAAGTCTGGGGGAGGGGCAGGGACAATGGTGAGACCAACTCCCACATAGAACACTTAGCATTGGAATGTTATAATATTTGATCATAATAACATGATACCTTTTTCAAATCTGCCCACTGAAACATCTGTCTAGCTAAAATAGGAATGAATGGCATATCTGTTAAGAGAAGGAAATTTGTGGTTCTATTTAGATGAGCTTCAAGATTTCCATTGCCATGAAACACTAATTCTGATTCTTCTCGCTTATGTAAAAATGAACACATAGAGGGGGTTATCAGGGTCACACCCACTGAACCTGCCCCCAGCTTCATGTATTCAAAAGTACTACTTGCTCAGAGCTTTATTTCATATGCACAATGCTCATATTATTCTCTACACACATGGGAGTCTCCATTTTCTAAGCTATCGGTACTGAACAGCACACACTGGAGCACCTATACAAGTAGGTTCTGTGGAAATGATACCTTTGGATGCACCATGAAAAGGGCAACCAGAGATGAACCGGATCACCCAACTATGCAGTCATTTATACCCTAATAAACATCAGAAAAAGGTAGTAGATACTGAATTTGCCATACTTTTTAAATGAATAGTTGTTTTCAGTTCTTTTCTCTCATGGAACCAAAAATCCCACCTTTTCATTTTCAGGGTTTTATCAGTGCAGTTTTGTATCAGAATGTTAAATTCAAAAATAATTTAAACATTGATTTATGATGTATATTCAGCATGTCATTGAAATGTGAATAGTACCAATAAAATCAACATTATGCCAGATGTATATGCCCTTTATCTCACTCCTGAACTGAAAGAAATCTTTGTAATTGCAGGAAGAGCTTCGCCCCCAGTTTGAAGCAAAATATTCCCAAGTGGAGCGAGTCAATCCCATAACAGGAAAGCCTGAACCTTTTCAACCATTCCCTGACAAACTTAGTCGACTGATGGTGTCTGTGTCAGGAATATTCTTCATGGTAAAGACACTAAAAATGATAGAAGTTTTGTAAAGGTCTTGTGGGCTATTTCATGACAACATAAATTGCAAAGGGAATAAATTTAGGGCAACTACTGTAAAATAAGAGAACAAAGATCAATGTTGGTGATTCACATCTTAGACCATTCTGGAAAAATGCAGTTATGAGTATTTAAATTTCAACAATGTAATACTTCAGTCTGAATACACATTGAGAAATGAGATGAGCTTAAAAGATCTTTCAAGTGTACTTTCATAAACTTCTTTCAGATGTATTTGTAAGACTTTCATTTTTAATAAGTACATTCAATTTTCTCTGCCTACAGATATCATTAGTACTCACAGCTGTATTTGCAGTTGTAGTATACCGCTTGGTGGCTATGGAACAGTTTGCCTCTTTCCAGTGGTATTTTATCAAAAAGTACTGGCAGTTTGCAACATCAGGCACAGGAGTCTGTATCAACTTTATGATCATCATGTCTCTTAATGTTGTAAGTTCTTGGTTTTCACTAATTTGCAAAGAATGGTCCAAGCATATCTATTATTAAAATGTAGAACTGGTCTATCTAGAATTGATGTGATCTAAGCTAAGTGAAATTAAAATTATTCTAGTTTACCATCTAATATTGCTTATAATCTAAACCATTTTATGTGCAGTTTCCTCCAGGCGCCCTATAAATGAAGACACAAGACAATAGTTTGGGTTTAACTAGTTTATTTGATTAATTAAGCTGATCTATGTCATACTGTTAAATATTCTAATGTAGTTAAATAGGTAGTCAAATAGGTGTAGTGGTTAAGTGTGCGGACTCTAATCTGGGAGAACCCGGTTTGATTCCCCACTCCTCCACTTGCACCTGCTGATGTGACCTTGGGTCAGTCACAAGCTCTGGCACAGCTGTCCTTGAAAAAGAGCAGTTTGTGTCAGAGTTCTCTCAGCCCCACCTACCTCACAGGGTATCTGTTGTGGGGAGGGGAAGGGAAAAGAGTTTGTAAACCGCTCTGAGACTCCAAGTGAAGGGCGGGGTATAAATCCAATCTCTTCTCTCCTCTCTCTTCTCTAGTCTGTGCTAGGCAGCCTGACTGGGCCCAGCATCTTTCATCAGCCTTGTTTATCATTGTCTACACACAATGTGCCAAGAATTGCACAGTCCCAGCACCCTCCCATGAAGTGCCTCACATCCACTACCAGGTTTAGAAAGATGTTGCTCAGCACCAAGGGCACTCCTTCCTAACTGTATCCCACTGCACAGTTGAAATTTAGAAGCTGGACACATCCTCCCTCACTTTGGACATCTCAAGGTTCTATCCCTTCCAAATTAGTTTTGGCCTACTCAGTCAACTGACCAGGCCTAACTCCACTATGGTATTATGAAGCAGCCAAAAAAGGGCTCCCTTTATAGTCATTCCATGGAAACCCCCCAAGTTCTTGCTTGGCCCCAACAGGTGACCAGCTAATCCTATATTGCCTAAAAGGAGGGTGAGTGGGTGGGTCAGCAGCCGGCAGCAAAAGGCTGGGGGGGGGAGGGTGCAGCTAGAATATAAGCTTGCAAGCCGCAGCTTCCAATTGGCTATCCCACATACGTTGTCTCATTTAAACTCATGGGGCTGAGGCTTTAATGCTAGGAATCCCACTGTATTTATTTAATTAATGTATATCCCTGTGAGGTAGGCTGGCCCAAGGTAACCCAGTGAACCCAGTGACATGAGTAGGGATTCAAGCCCAGGTCTCTGAGGTACAAGGCTCAGAGGCTAAGGGCAATTTTGCACTAGAGCTGCCTCGCGGCGCAGCCGCCGTTTGCCCCGACACTATTTGTCAATTTCACACCCGAGGCTGCGGGGCTGCATTTGACCCACGGCTTCGCCCGATTTCCTCCGCAGTTTCGTGATCCTCAAAAACCAGGATCACAAAACTGCAGAGGAAATCGGGCGAAGCCGCAAGTCAAAATGCAGCCCCGCCGCTTCGGGTGTGAAATTGACATGTTTGTGTTGGGGCAAACGGCGGCTGCGCCACGAGGCAGCTCGGGTGCAAAATCGCCCTAACACTCTGAACCAGTGCACCACACTCGTCAGTTTAATTCACTTATACTGCAACATTAGAAACTAGTTGAAATTTAGAAGCTGGAACGATTTTTTTCAATGCTAAAGCAATAACAAGCAGCACGAATGGGCCCATAAGTAAGCAAAGCATACACCTATTAGTAGTACCATCACCCAATAAGTGGGATGACTCAGGCAAGCACCCCTGGTTATATGGACAGAGAGTCATCCCCAAATGTGACTGGTGGGAAATGCTCTGTGCAGAAATAATAATCAGAGCTAATGGGCTGATATTATTTGGTGGGAACATGGGCTAAGAGTTCTGATTGGCTGGTATTCCTCAACTCTTATCTGCTGAGTCATTCTCCCCTGTTCCTACTTTTGGCTACCTCAGGGAAACAGAAACATAAAGATAGCATTGGAAGTGGAAACTGGAAGCAGAAAACAGTTGCAGGGAGAAAAGCCAGAATTAACCTAGCCAGTTTGTATCCACTCAAATTAGTTTGCCCTTCTGAACAAATAAGACATGTTCTGCTCATTTTCTGATTATTCTCTAAATGCCACCTTTAATCTATACAGGTTTTTGTTTATCAAGCCAGTAGCCATTTTTAAACATCTCAATAGTGCATTTTTATGAAGATAGAAAATTCAGTGGTGGAAAAAACATTCAGTAGGATCAAATTGCTTACAAAATCACAGAGACAATTTATTTTATAATATTAACTTCATGGGATAACCCATGTGTTCTTTGAACACAGCTCCATCCATGCACACCTAGTTCTAGGTATAACTGTAAGGAAGGGCCCAATGGGTGAGAGGTTGGCAGGCAGAAATTTGACATGTAGGGTACAGGGCACACCAACAGATAAGTGAATGATGGAGCAATATTATCTCTTAACTTTTTGACCATTTTAGCCTCTCTTTTATTATTTGAGAATGTCAGCACTGGGCCAAAGTTTCCAGGCTTTGCAGTATAGCTCTACGATTTCCATTGTTGCAGCTGATTCTTAATTTTGCAAAATCTTTTCTGCTAAATGCCTTCCTAACAGATATCTACTAAACAAGGCAAAGCTCATGTGTGCTAACGATCTGCAGTATTATGCTTATCAGTGGCAATGTGATAAATTGATGTTTGATGCATTTGTCTAGCCGTTTATGATGTTATATGAAGTCCCACATTTGTGACATGGCAAGTTCAGGCATGTTTGTGGAGGGGGGGGGGGAAACTTGCCAATGCGGAGATACTCCAGGAAATGAATTTCAGTTTTTAATCTGGCCATGCCCTAGGGCTGAAGTTAATGTTTAGACTGTGGGTGGAGAGTTTAATTTCACTCATCTTTCTTTGCTTCCCAGTACACACTTAAACCAGAAATTCCTGCCTAGTGACGTCTTTCTAGTAGAAATGACTCATATAGTACACATATACTCTATTATATAAGGAGCAGCCATAGTCACAGTGTATGATTTTATTTAGAGGCATATCTGATATATCATAAGCATAGTATTTAGATACATTGTCAGATGGTAGAAGAGATTTTTTTCCAATTCTTCCTTTCCACTGCAGACTCCCACTGACACTCCCCCCCTTGCTATTCCTGAGGGTCTCCTGCCCTCAATGGACAGCAATTGAGAGAAATAGTGGACTATAGCAGGACACAAAGGCAAGAAAGTTCCATTCTGTCAGCAGTGGTCCACTGACTGACTTTGGGCCCAGTCTATTTAATTTTATCTTGATGGGATGGGGTGCTTCTAACATTTATTAAACTGCTTCTTCCAAAGCAAAAAATAAAGATATGGCATAAAATTTTATCTGATATGCCTGTAATGAGAAAAAACCAAGGTAGAGAATAAAAATCATGTAATTGTGAGATTATTTCTCATAAAGAACTAAAAATCTAGACCATTCCTCCCCCCCACACATCCTTTTTAATGGGACACTTTTTCCTTTCCAGGACATAGAGATGGACTTGTATATAATATTTCAGCATCACTGGTAAAGAGCAATTGAAGTAGAGGTGCATTTTTATTTTAGCCCTGGGGGTTAGGGAAGGTAATATTTTCCTTCACTTTTTTGGTTTCATAGCTATATAATTTCTTTTTTGAAATTGTATTTTTTATTTTCTAATGTTTTCCTCAACTCTGTTTTAGGTATATGAGAAGGTTGCCTATCTCTTAACAGATTTAGGTAGGTAGTTGTGCTGATACATTAAATATCGCTGTGTTATTTCATTTCTCTGGGTTAGGAAAGGGTGGATAAGGTGCGTAACAGAAATATATTATCACAAGAAGTGGGACCCACAATACTCATGGGGAGGGGGAGTATTCCCCACAGCTCCCCACCTGCAGAAGCAGGAGAACTGGCAGCAGGTGAGCCCAGCCTTCTCCCTCCCCGCCCCCCCCGGCATTGGTGTCGATGCCAGCCCACCAAGCTTTCTCCCTCCACCACCCCCCAAGTGGCAATGAGGCCTGAATGGCTCACAGCTGCCGGCCCGTTAAGCTTTCCCATCTCCCTTTCCCCCCGGCAGTGGTGGCGATGCTGGCCCGCCAAGCTTTCTCCCTCCACCCCCCCCCTGAGTGGCAGTGAGGCCTGAACGGCTCACAGCCGCTGACCACCAAGTTTTCTGCCTCCACCCCACCCCCCAGCGGTAGTGGCAGCGAGGCCTGAATGGCTCACAGCTG